CATAGACATGCATCAATAACACAAAAAATAGAGACAAACACATGCACATCTATTCTAGCATACATAGACATACGGATAGAATGAAATGATCAATTGGAAACATTAAACCACATAAATCATTGAAGAAACAAGATCTATATATATAAAAGTGTCAAGACATGAATCACAATACAAATCCCCTAAAAAATACATAAATCAAGAAGTAAAAAACATGCTTACGGCTAACTCTAGCCCTAAGAGGATGTCTAGCCACTCATGGATGATGTCTTCCAACCCTCAAGGGCAAGCTCCATGGAAGAAATCTGCTCCTTGGTTGATGAAGAGTCTCCAATGGTGTCTCTAGCCTCCTCCCCTTTTTTTCTTCTTCACTAAGTATGTATATCAAAGTATATCAAAAGGCTCCCTCAAAAAGTGGCTCATATTCCTTATATAGGTAGGTCGAAAATCATCCCAAATGAGCTAGGCTCGTACACCAATATTCCTCTAATGATTGGATATGAGACAACTTTTAATGAGCTGGAATTTGGATTTTTCTCGGGATTTGGGAGGTTCGATCGATTGAACTTGAGGTGAGATCGATCGAACATGGCTGAGATCTATCGAACTGAAGCTGGATCGATCCTCAATGGCGGTGCCTTTTTGGATAAAAACAAATCTGAGATATTTTGAAGATATTTTTGGGAAAAGGACAAAAGTGGTTGGTAGGGTGGTACAGCTGGATAGGATCAATCATTTGGATAAGGACAAGATGGTTCGATCGATCAGAGAATGAGGTTGGATCGATCGAACTTTAAGATTTTTGAATAAGAACAAAATGGCTCAGATCCATCTTGAAATGCTGAGATCGATGAAAGATGGATCGATCGAACTTTTCTTGAGATCGATCGAAGTAGCTGAAATTCTACCCTTTTGCTTCCTTTTGCTCTACTTTGCTCCTTTCTTTGATTCATCCGAGAATTGCTTCAATTATGCTCTTATTTGGCTGAGTTAGCTTATTTGGGGATAAGTACCTGAAAATAGAAATAACACAAAATCAATACAAAACGGTAAAATAAGATAGATAAAGGTTCTAGAATACCTAAGCTTAAGGGGTTTAAATACACACTTTTCAGCGCTCGTCACTAATTGCAGTATTTGTTTAATTTAACTGTTGTATTTATTTGAATTATTTAATTGGGTATTTGTTTTAATTATTTTTTGTCTTAAATATATGCTTACGTGGAAATTTAATTTAATTGTTTTAAAATTTTAATTATTTTTTTTTTTTACGGTTTTAGTTTCTTCACGGTTAGCCGACTTAGATATAATATGAATGGTTCTTTTCTCGTCTCTAAATTAAACTAGAATTAGGGTTTTTAGTCAAGCTTATAAATAGAACTGTATGCCAAGGGTTTGTAAACCCTGTTTACGTACACAGAGAAACGGAGAGAAACAGAGTACTTTGTTTAAGGTTTATCTAGGACTAAGGCTAAACCAAGAAAAGATTAAAGGGGTATGTTCGAGTGTTGAACCAAAGAGAAGACAGAGAGAGAAGACAGAGCGTTCACCGGAAACCATAGGAAGATGACGCTGAGATTTTGAACCGAAATCTCAAAGGCAAGTTCTATTCCTAACTCTTTCTCTTTGACTCGTGTTCTTTACATGCCTAACACAACTCCAGGAGTAAATAGACATTAAAGATTAATCTGGTTTGTTAATTATAACAGTATGCCTTTACATGAATTGGTGTTTGATTGTTTGTAAATTTCCTTGCATAATTCATGTTTTAATTGATGTTAATTGATGCATAATGAATTTAATAAATTGTTGGGACTGTCTGGAACCTAGAACAGAGGGTTAGGAACCTTAGCAAGGACAATCAGAATGTCAAAAAACTGCCGGCATCGGGGAAGACAAAGGCTGGGAAGAGTGGAGGCTGCTTCACCCTTCAATAGAGGCGGCTCTATTGAAGTGGAGCTTGCTCCACATGATGTAGAGGCGGCTCCAAGAGAGTTGAGTCTGCTCTACCTAAAAGTTGAGCCTCCTCTACCTAAAAGTTGAGCCTCCTTTACCTAAGTTGAGCCTCCTCTGCCTAAAAGTTGAGCCTCCTCTACCTTAAATTGGAGCCTGCTCTACATCTTTTTGGAGCCTGCTCCTTTGTGGATTTTCAATTTGTTTTTAGTTTCAGCAATGGATTTTACTCCTGTTCTTGGATTTTGATGTTCCAGTTTAATTAGAAGCTATACTGGAGGTTCTCAGAGGTGTCCTGAGCTTATTTAAAACTCCCAAGAGTCTTGTTAATGCATAATTAATCACCTTGTATTATAGTTGAACAGTATAAAATTCTTACACAAATTGGTATACTGTTTTAGATGTGGAGGATTAAAATTGTTCATCATTGTTTTAGCAATTTTTCGAAAATGATTTTATAGTTTAAATCATGTTCCAGTGTAATAAATAAGCATGTGAATTTATATATTCTATTATGCTTACTTGGAAATAATTGATGTCTACATGTAGGATCTGTATTATCAATTATTGGACTGTGCAGAGTTATATCAAATAAGCCTGTAAATTACAGAATTTTATCATGCTTAGTATGGAACAATTGATGTTTATATTTAATATTTTAATTATCAATTGTTGGATGTATGGATTAGTTGATATTTACTTTTATTATCTGTATTTTCAACTATTGGATGGATGGATTGTATGCACTGGTATGGGACAGTGGCATACTAGGGACGGATTAGTTTCAAAATACTAAATCCTACCTATACGGAGTAAGGGAATGGATTATAAAATAAATCCTACTTATATTTAAGTCAGATCAGTTGAAACAAAGTTGAATGACTAACTGGATTACTTGCTATGGATATGTAAGTCAGAGCAGCTGAACAAGCTGAATGGCTTACTGGATTTCTTATGGATGGATTTGATAGGGCTTTAAATATATTTTTATGGTACCGCGATATGAGCTTGAGTCTCAGAGTCGACGGTTAGGGACCGTATATGTAGTAGGGTGCATAGCTGGCTATGTTGGTTGAGATATACCCTGTTAGGCTTAGGTAGTCATGCCCACTCAGGTGCGTTTTGCATGTTGCCTTCTACTCAGGTTGAGACCCTCATCATAGTCTAGTGAGAGTCCCATAGTGTGGATATATATATATGTATGGACTATATATTTATTCTTCAGTTATTTAGGATGTACATGCATATCGAGTCTCTGTTCAGATTGTAGTAGGATAGAACTTGTTCGTGGGCCTGACCCACTTCTATTTTTAAAGGTGTTTGACAGTTCCAGTCGTAGGCTTAATCGTGTTGAGCAAAGGCTATCACTTATTCTTCTGACGATGTAAGACTTCTCTCAATGGTTTACGTGGGATGTTCTTTTAGTAGTTTTATTTCAGTTTGGATTTTTATTAGGGGTCCACTAGAGATGGATTCCTGAGTTGTTTAATTATTAGAGGTTCAATGGAGGATTGGATTTCTGGATTTTAATTTTATTTTAAAGGATAGAACTTGTTCGTGGGCCTGACCCACTTATATTTTTAAAGGTGTTTGATAGTTCCAGTCGTAGGCTTAATCGTGCTGAGCAAAGACTATCACTCATTCTTCCGACGACATAAGACTTCTCTCCATGGTTTACGTGGGATGTTCTTTTAGTAGTTTCATTTCAGTTTGGATTTTTATTAGGGGTCCACTAGAGATGGATTACCGAGTTGTTTAATTATTAGAGGTTCAATGGAGGATTGGATTTCTGGATTTTAATTTTATTTTAAAGGATTCTATTTTAGATTTCTTTCAACTATTAATTATTTCTTATTTCATTTTTGTATTCCGTGTTTGTTTTAAATATTAATTGTTTAATATTCCCTCGGGTTCAGGCTAGGGCCTGAACAACCCGTGTTTTGGATCTGAGGGATATCACAGTTGGTATCAGTGTACTCTAGGTACAAGTGTCTCTAGGGTATTTCATATTAAGACTTCCGGGTGGCGTTTTCTCTTGATTAGAGCTTAAGTTTAGGATTCATTGAATTCCTTTACGGTTCATTTAGAAGTTACTGATGTCAAGTTTATTCTGTAATTTCAGAATGTTTGGCACTAGGAAAAGGATGTGGTCCGCGATGAAAGCAAAGAAGGACCCAAGGAAGAAGAAGGTTACTCCGACGATTGCCCTGCTAAGGCCGACCAAGAAGGCGGAATTAGAGACCAAGGAATTGGTTCCAATAGGTGTTGCTTCGAAGTATAAATCAAGGAAGGTTTCTGGTGTGCAAGATTGGCCACCATACTGTGGACCTAACACAACTTCAGTGGTGCTCGAAGTTGAGCCAAGCGGAGAGGAAAACCCCGAAGAAGATCAGAATAGAGGAGATACCGGAGCATCCACGAGGGAGGGCACCGGTGTTCAAAGATGAATGCTCTTCTAGGAGTAATTTTAATTACTAGTAGTAGTGGTGATATTAGTAAAAGTGTGGTACAGATTGAATCACGTACACTAGTAATATGTTAAAGAATAACTTATCCCCAAAATTTAGACCTAATCTAGTATGTACTTAGGGTGTAGTGTGGATTCATCTCCCTAGTCTTTTCTACTTGTATCTCACTTCTTCAATTTCATTGCAATCTATTGTTTTATGCATTTTAATTTCTTAGTTTAGTGACAAACACACAAACCCTTTATAAACCCCTCATCACTCTAGAATGATTCTAGACATTTAGGTTGCCTTAGACTAGCGCAGTCCTAGTGGTTCAACTTACCCGACCAATAGCCCTATTTTACAATGATTCGTGCTATTGCGAAGGTTGATGTATAGTTGATCAACCGATCAGTTACCAATAAGCTTTGATGCAGCCGCCCTCAATCTGGCCATATTCACAGCTGTTGTTACATAGGGCCAATCTTAGATGTTGTTCAAGAACTTGAAATAGGCATATTCCCATGAACGTTTGAGCAGTAAAGTGCCAAAGACCCCACCAAATCCAACACCAAAACCTAGCCCTATGCTGACATAAAATTCTCAATTTATAAATCCATCTTCATCTCCTTCAATGATGTTTTCTTTACCACGAGAAGAATCAGGAGTTGTTTCATCTCCTGGGCACTTATTTGGAAGTGGAAGTCCGCAAAGTTCATAATTCTCTGCGTATACAGAGGCATCAAAGCTTTGCAGTTGAGTGCCTGACGGAATTTTCCTAGACAAGATATTATTCGACAAATCCAACACAGTGAGAAAATTTAAACGAGTGATGCTTGTTGGAATCTCACCAGAAAGCTGGTTTCTAGACAAATCGAAAGATTTTAACATTTTCAACTCACCAATCTGTGGAATAACATGTCCAATCAAAGAATTTCTTGATAGGTTCAAGGAAACTAATTCTTCAAAACTCAATATTTCTTGAGGAATTTTTCCAGTTAAATTATTGCTAGAAAGATCAATGATTTTTAACAGTGTTAGATTATTTTTGTACTCAAACTCTTGACTTTTCCATAGCATCAATGCATAGTCTCCATATACATCAACGTTTATAACATCATCCATTTCATAACCGAAATAAATGCGAAACTCTGAACTATTCCTTCAAATAAAGGCGATAAAATTGTTAAAACATGGTGGTATAATACCACATATATTGTTTTGTAAGAGGTCTAAGATCCAAATAAACTGAATATGGCATATATTTAGAGGTTTATACTCGTGGAACTTATTCAATCGTAGACTAAGAACAATCAAACTACTAACGTGTGTACCCATTCACGATGGAATTATTCCAGATAATTTATTCTCTCCGACATCCATGGTTACCAAGTTTCTGTAGTTCTGCAAAGATGAAGGCAATTCCCCAACGAAAATATTGTTTCGTAAGTGCAAAATTTGCATCTGAGTTAGGAAATCAATAGAGTGAGGAATTCTACCATAAAACTATTACTGGACAAATCAAGAGTGACTAATCCTTTCATATGCATCCAATAGTCAAGAAGCTTTCCTGATAACTAGTTATTTGAGAGGTCGATATACCTGATGTAGTCATTGATAGCCACACATAAGAATGAATTGACCCAAAAAAAATATTTCTGGACAAACTCAAAAATGTAATGTTAGGAAGAAATAGTGGTAATGGGCTTGCAAAATGATTATAGTTTGTTCTATTTTGAGAATAAGATTAGATTAGAAAGAACTATGCAAAGAACCCTATAGTAGAATGCACCTTGGCAGGGAAGGGGGTAGAATGGATGAATCGAACATTGATAGGGAGAGCTAAAAGTATGCACATACATTTGGGTCTACCCAAGCAGTATTCGATAGAAGCAGTCAATACAATAGCCTACCGAATTAATCGTGGACTATCAGTGCCTTTGGAGCATCGGATGACGAAGAAGGTAAAATTTTTTGGCTATATTGCATATGCGCATATTAGTGTGCTAGGAGAAATCTTGACCCCAAGTCACTAAAATTCATCTTCCTTGGTTATGTTGAAGATGTTTTTGGTTATTGACTCTGGGATGACCAAAACAAGAAAATCATCAGGAGTAGAGACATGGTTTTCAATAAGAATGTGATGTACAAAGATATGGATGGAACATAGTTAACTAGTCTTGTACAAACTAAGCCTGAGTTTATTGAGTTGGATGATGCTACTAATAGTTTTGTTGTGGAGCAAACAGTTGAGGGTTCATAGTCAGAACTCACAGAGCATAGTACACTGCATAATCCAACTCCTATAATTGCACTTAGAAGGTCCACGCGTCCCATGTACCAAATCAGTGTTGTATGGATTATATGTTATTCATAGATGGTGGTGAGCCTGAATGCTATAATAAGGCATGCCATGTTGAAGATGCTACCAAATGATAGCTTGCAATGGAAGATGAGATGAAGACCCTAATCTCCAACAAGACATGAGAACTAGCCAAGATACCCATGGGGAAGAAAATCAATCACAATAAATGGGTGTACTTGGTCGAAGAAGAACATGATGGTTCAAAGAGATACAAGGCAAGATTAGTGGTCAGAGGATTTCAGCAGAAGCAAAAGATTGACCACATATACAGTTTTTCTCTAATTATGAAATTGAGTACCATTCTCCCAGTTCTTAGCATTGTTGTAGCAAAGGGGTTGCACCTTAAGTAGTTGGATGTCAAAATTGTTTTCCTCCATGGTGACCTAGAGGAGGAGATTTATATGCAAGAACTAGAGGGTTTTTTTAGTCGGAGGAAAAGAGAAACTTGTGTGCAAGTTAAAGAAAACCTTGTATAGTTTAAAGCAAGCCTTGAGGCAATGGTACATGAAGTTTGACAATTTATGGTTTGGAAAAGTTCTTTATAAAGTGAACTGGTGGTTTTGGTTTCTTTTGTGTTGCATGATATCATTTTTAGTGGTAGTTACATTAATGGTTTTATGAAACTAGTTTAGAATGTGATTGTCGCAATAATAAAGGACTACCACAGTGGAGTGGTTGGTTTGGACAGGCAAACAAGTATTTGCTTGTAAGTACGTTGGGTTGAGACAGGATGGTTACCAGGGAGTTTATAAAAGAACTTGTGTAACTCAATATGGTAGGTTTGGTTTAGAAGGAAGAATTCCAAGGATAAGATGATAATCTAAAAGTGAGTAGATTTTGGAGTATTTTGGTTACCTTATGTGTTTTGCTCTACGGAGTATTCAGGAACATTGGAATTTTATAGATTGGTTGGTGACACACGTATGCAGTAGACCGTAGGGTATTTCTACACCGTTAGGCAATGTGGCCATTCTACATGAGAGTGATGGGCCTGTGACACTAGATATTGGTAGACTCAGATTTCTAGCCAATCTTTTGGTCCTGGACATGCACACTTATGTTGTGTTACTTGGGATGGATTAGTTATTTCACTACCATGGCTGAGTTAAGGATTTGGATAGGTCTATTGTGTGCACCATACCTGGTTAGGATATTTATGTTGTTGCAATGCCACGTTCTAATGGGGTCACTAGCACTTATTGTTTTGTATAGAGGAGGAGACGGAGGAGGGGGAAAACTGTATTATTGGATAGCTCACCAATCGTATAGGACTTTTCGGATATTTTTATGGGAACTTTATGAGTGACGCCTATTGCTAGGGCATCATACGGGATGGCACCAGTGGAGATGCGAGAGCGAGGGATCAGATTCAGCAATTACTCAGCCAGGGATTTATTCGTAGGAGTACTTCACCTTGGGGAGCACCGGTCTTATTTGTGAAGAAGAAGGATGGTTCACTTCGCCTGTGTATAGATTACAGGGAGTTGAACAAGGTTATTATTCGAAATAAGTACCCTTTACCTAGGATTAATGATCTTTTTGATCAATTGAAGGGAGCTACCTACTCGCACGTATATGCAGTGGATGCGTAGTTGGCTATGATGCGTTGAGGTGTACCCTGTTAGGTTTAGGTACTCATGCCCACCTTTGGGTGCGTTTTTGCATGTTGCCTTCTATCTAGGTTGAGACCCCCTATATAGTCCAGTGAATGTCACTTAGTGTAGATATTTATATATATATGGACTAGATAGCTATTATTTAGATATCTAGGGTGTATCTGCGTATCGGGTCACTGTATGTATTGCAGTTAGAATAGAATTTGCATGTAGGCCTGACCCACTCTTATTTTTACAGGTGTTCATCGGTTCTAGGCTTAGAGCTTGATCGTGCTGAGCAGATACAGTCATTCACTCCACCGACGATGTAGGATTTATTTCCATGTTTTAGACTTGGGTTTCTTCCCAGCTATGTAAATTTCAATTAGGATTTTTAGGGGTCCACTAGATGGATTCCCGAGTTGTATTTTTGGAGAACGACTTGTATCAAAAGATTTTGAATTATCAATGAAAGTTATAAGTTTATCGTTTTAGTTCTTTTAGCGTTTTTATTTATTTTTGTTTATCGTAGTTATATTCTGTGTTTGATTATTGCTAATTGAATTGATATCCTCAGGTAATCGGGCGTGGGCCTGGCCAACCCAAATTCGGAGATCCGGGGCTATCACAGATAGCATATACTTTATAAGATCTGTTTGACAAACAATGTAAACCCAAACAGGCAACATATAAACTCTTAATTTCATTGCTGCAAAATACAAAGCCAGACATAATTTCTCAATCGGTGTATATCTACACTCGACTGGAGTTAAAACTTGGTTGAGATAATATATTGTTTATTGCTAACATAGCTCCAATGGATTCTTTAGTAGCCGATAAATATAATTTCATCGGCCATTTCTTTCTTGGTGGCATTATGATAGGAGGACTCGACAAGTATTTGTTAATTTGGTCAAATGCCCTTTGATGTATATCATCCCATTTGAATTCTTCCATCGGCTTCAACTTGAGTAGCGGGAAAAACACATGTAACTTCCCAGCTGTATTAGTAATAAATCTCCTAAGATAATTCACTTGCCCAAGTAACCTCTGCAACTGTTTCTTACTTCTCAGCGCACTAGCATCAATAATCGCCTTAGCTTTATTCCTATCGATTTTTATACCCCTTTGATGAACCAAGAAACCCAAAAAGTTTCCTGCCGATACTCCAAAGGCACACTTTATTGGATTCATTTTTAGCTTATGAGTCCTCATCCTCTCAAAAGATGCTTTGAGGTGGACTAGATGCTCTTTCCTCGTTACTGATTTCACCAGCACATCATCAATATACACCTCCATAAATGATCGGTTGGTCAATTATACATCAATCTTCGCAATAGCATGAATCATTGTAAAATAGGGCTATTGGTCGGGTAAGTCGAACCACTGGGACTGCGCTAGTCTAAGGCAACCTAAATGTCTAGAATCGTTCTTAGAATGATGAAGGGGAAATAAGGAGTTGTTTGTTTGTCACTAAATTGAATATGTGAAGTGCATGAAATAGAAACTTGCAAGAATTGAAGCGAGACAAGATACGAGTAAGAAAAACTAAGGAAGTGAATCCGTCTCCATCCCTATACACATGCTAGGCTAAATTTAAATTCGGGAAATCAACATAAACGATGGTCATGATACATAACAACCCTTGGTTGTTATAATATCCTCAAGAGGTTCATTAAATCAAAAACAAGAATAATCCATCAAAGAAATACATGCTTAAACTACCTAAACTAGGGTGTAGTCTTCAACATGCTCCCTAAGCCAAAGATTATCAAGCCCTTAATTGAAGGATGAAAGCACATAAAGTTAGGAATCAAGAATAGACCATCAAAGGGGGAACCTAAGCAATGGACTATCAAAGTTCTCCAACTTCATGCCATTAAAACTATTCCATGATCTCACTACCATTGTCACCATGAGAGTGCAAGCACTATGATTAAAAGAATAAACCATCTAAGATAGATAATTAATTCAACAATAATCATTAAAATACATGAAGATCTATTGCAAGAAGCAAAATGCTCTAGACCATGAAAAGACCATAGGTTATACATTGAAATCCCAAAATAAAATCTACACTAGAACATGCTTACAAGGGAGGGACTTCATCACCTCCCTAGAAGAAAAGTTAGTTACCCATTGGAGCCTTAGAATGAAGAAGAAGC